AAACAAACCTTTCCTCACCAGAGTCCGCCATTTCTGAAACAGCAAAATAACAATGATTTCTCTAGGTTTGATAAAATAATAGGCCCAGGGGGCATGTATCGCTCACCTGGATATACCAGGTAGTTTTATTCATCAAATATTTTTGGAATTAAGACTTTAAAAGAAATATGGCCATATCAACTATCTAGATTTTGTCCCCCACCTTCAGCCCCCAGGTAATTTTAAAAGTGGTATGGTGCAGGCATTGGTATTCTACATGATATATGTTATACAAATGATGTACATAACCCCCTCCCATCCCAACCACTAGTACTCCACTCTGGATCTTCTGTGGTTTTTTAGCTCACCCGCAGCGTCCGTCGTCCGTCCGTCAACATTTCCTTTAAAACATAAACAAACAAACCTTTCCTCACCAGAGTCCGCCATTTCTGAAACAGCAAAATAACAATGATTTCTCTAGGTTTGATAAAATAATAGGCCCAGGGGGCATGTATCGCTCACCTGGATATACCAGGTAGTTTTATTCATCAAATATTTTTGGAATTAAGACTTTAAAAGAAATGTGGCCATATCAACTATCTAGATTTTGTCCCCCACCTTCAGCCCCCAGGTAATTTTAAAAGTGGTATGGTGCAGGCATTGGTATTCTACATGATATATGTTATACAAATGATGTACATAACCCCCTCCCATCCCAACCACTAGTACTCCACTCTGGATCTTCTGTGGTTTTTTAGCTCACCCGCAGCGTCCGTCGTCCGTCCGCCAACTTTTCCTTTAAAACGCTACTAGTCCTGAACGGCCAAGTAGATTTTGACTAAATTTGGTCTAGAGTATCCTTAGGCCAAGGGGACTCGGGGGGACGGTGGGTGTGGGCCGAATAGGGGAAATAGAGGTAAAACCTTGAAAATCCTTCTTCTACCGTAGGGATTAAAGGATTTGTTCCATATTTGGTGTGGAACATCCTTGGTTAAAGGGGAACCAATTTTGTATAAACGGTGGGTCTGGCCCCCCTGGCGGCTGAGAGGCGGGGCCCAATATGGGAAATATAGCAAATTCTTTAATATCCTTCTTCTGTAGGAATGAAAGGATTTGTTCCATATTTGGTCTGAAGCATCCTTGGGTGAAGGGGAACCAATTTTGTATACACTGTGGATCTGGCCCCCGAGGTGCCTGAGCCGTGGGGGCCAATAGGGGAAAAAAGCAAATTATTCTTTAAAACCATTCTTCTTCTGTAGGAATGAAAGGACTTGGTCCATATTTGGTGTGGAACATCCTTGGGTAAAGGGGAACCAATTTTGTATAAACGGTTGGTGTGCCCCCCCCCCTCCTGGGACTTGAAGGGCGGGGCAAAATAGGGAAAATATAGGTAAAACCTTTATAATCCTTCTTCTACCATAGGTTTTAAGGGATATTATTATAATTTAGTCTGGAGCATCCTTGGGCAAAAGGGACTCAATTTTGTATAAATGGTGTGTCTGACCCCTCTTGAGGCAGAGAGGCGGGGTCCAATAGGGAAAATAGAGGTAAAACCTTTAAAATCCTTCTTCTACCATAAAGATTAAAGGATTTTATCCTAATTTAGTCTGGAGCATCAAGGGGGCTCAATTTTGTATAAGCAGTGGGTGTGGTCTTCCAAGGGGTAGAAGGGCAGGGCCCANAGACCCTTGTAGGGGCATAGGGGTGGGGCTCTGTTTGAAGTTTGTTCTCTATATCTCAAGTACTGGATGGATCTTTCTGAAATTTCATATGTACTAACAGCACCTACCATGGAGTGCTATATCTTTACTTCATACCAATTACTTTTATTATATTCAGGTGAGCGATACAGGCCCTCTGGGCCTCTTGTTGTTTATAGAGTTAAAGTTACTAGGTATGCACAAAGTTTCAAACAATTAGATCACTGATCAGTTATTTTCATACTTTATTATAAATTTATATATATATATTTGGTATAGCAGGCTATATAACAGAATGATAATATCACAATACTGATTAAATTATTTTGTTATAAGTTAAAATTAAAACAGTTGAGCATCAATCTTTTAGAACTGAACACATGTTCATTTCAAAAAGAATTTAAATCAAATGTTTATTTGAAAACAAGAAACCCCAAATGTATGTGTAACTCAGGTCAGGTATTGCAGATATTGACAAACTGGCCCTGTTTAATATTGTTAGAAGGAAACAGAACTTTGTATGCAACAACCTTTGAATTACTTTTTTCTTATCATGTGTGATACTCATTTTGTCTAAGTTATAATTATGTATATAGTTATTGTGTGTTGTGACATGTGTAAAAAGTGTATATATACTATCCTTGATAAATTTTTAATTTCAGCAATTAGATTTTAGAATATGAATCAAGATATATATATATATATATATAATCAAACTAAATATGTTTTTATTGATATGTCACATTTATGTTTAGATTGGATATTTGATTCCTGGACTCTTTCTTTTGTGGGACTTTTTTTTGAGAACCCATTATATCTCTTAATTAGTTGGCTCATCAAAATGGATGTTTTTAATATATTGATGACAAATATGTTGAATGTGTGCATATTACATTTTATGAACCGAGTTAAGGCATCAATAAATACATGTTTACACTTGATATGTTGTACTTAATACAGATGTTTGAGTGTAAAGAAAAAGTGGATGACTGAACTGTACAGGTAAAATCACAGTTACCAGATGTTCAAAGTGCATCGGCTACACATAATTGTTTTGAGCAAGACTTGGGATGTAAATAAAGGTTGACATGACCTCAACAGGTGTTAGCTATAGATATTGCATTTGTCTATGGATAGTTACAAAAGCAAATGTGAATGTGAATCGCACAGTTAAATACATATTGACACATGTACATATAATTTTCTGTTCAACAGTCAGTAATGATTCAATCAATATCTTTAAACATATGTAATCAAAATATTAGCTTGCTCAGACCACAGGGGTTTGTAAAAAATGTCTTAGATACACACACTTGACTGTCACAGCACATACAAGTATAAACAAATATGCATGTTTAAAATATCCCAAATTCACCTTAAAAATCACTGAATATTATAGCTTTTTGAAATGAAGCCTGATATGTTTATATGCTGAGTGACCCATATCAGTTTAGCATAATATTTGTAACAACCCCCTGTGCTTTGTAATAACCCCCACTCTCTCCCTCAAGTAAAAGTGCAAAAAATACCTTTAATTTGACTTAAGTATCCACGGGTTATATGCTTCGCCGGCAAACACCATAGCAAAGGTGTGTCACTTATGATGACGTAAGAGGCTGATCACTCAGACACATAACATATCTAGGTCCAGGAGTAGAGTCAGTCAGTGTTTACTCAGTAGGCTACATATAGATGCTCTCGGAAAAATGTTGACAAAGGTATCAAAATGATAACATTTCTGCTAATACAAAGCGAATATATGCAACACAACACATTTAACCATATACACAAAAAAACACTTGCATCATAATAATTGTATTAAGAATACAGAAGTTAATAGTCGCACAATATTAGCACTGTTTACATCGGAACGTTGCATACGAGCTCAAACCGGAACTACCGTTGACAGACAGCGCCAATGTTTATTAGCGGCCAACTATAAAGGGACGTAATGCGGTAGGCTACCATTGTAAGTAACATTATATTTGCAATATTACTCCAATACATATACAATTAAGATGAACAACATTACAAATGAACACACGAACGGTTAAGGAGTAGACTGCATGTATTTATAAAAAGGAGACGATTAAAAATGGTATTGAAAGGAAATAAACTGTCCTGATAAAGATAAGCTTTATGCTTACATAATACACAAAGTATATGACCCTTCAGGTCCTTGCAGGCAATTGCCTCCGGGGGTACATCATGATGGAGGAATTGCTGCACCTCCCCCGGAAACTGTCCCCCTTCCTCCAATCTTTAATAATAATAAGTGGCTGGTCGGGGGGTGGTGGTCCACAACAGAAAGTGAAATTCTTTTCACCCCCGGCCAACAACTCATCGTTCATAGTACATGAAAATGCTTCCTCTATTGGCGACACAAGCAAACAAAAATGGAGTCAATCCAGATCTGCATGCTTGTGCCGTTAACAGAGATGATACGAACACAACCAAGCATGTCACACTCCCATGTTGTCTAACATTATGCATACCATAGTTGACGAGGGGTTCCGATAATTGATTGCGCAGCGTACTGATTACTGCGCAAGACAAAAATAGCGACACGTAAGGCCTAAAATAAAATCCTTGAAGGCAATTGCCTCCGGGGGTACATCATGATGGAGGAATTGCTGCACCTCCCCCGGAAACTGTCCCCCTTCCTCCAATCTTTAATAATAATAAGTGGCTGGTCGGGGGGTGGTGGTCCACAACAGAAAGTGAAATTCTTTTCACCCCCGGCCAACAACTCATCGTTCATAGTACATGAAAATGCTTCCTCTATTGGCGACACAAGCAAACAGAAATGGAGTCAATCCAGATCTGCATGCTTGTACCGTTAACAGAGACGATACGAACACAACCAAGCATGTCACACTCCCATGTTGTCTAACATTATGCATACCATAGTTGACGAGGGGTTCCGATAATTGATTGCGCAGCGTACTGATTACCGCGCAAGACAAAAATAGCGACATGTAAGGCCTAAAATAAAATATTGTTTGTTGAGAACTTCTTACTAAGAAATATTTCTTATCTTAATAAAAAGTATAATAAAACAAAAACTCTTCATGTATCATAATACATACCTGTAATTTTCCCATCGTTCATGTCCTTTTTCTGTGGATTTTTGGTGACACAGTTTGCAGAACCCTTCAGAACTGAAAACGCATTTGCACTCCGTTTACCCTGCAACTCTATGCTGTTTTTATTGACATTGATAAATGCCTCAAATTGTGCGTTGCAGAGTTCGAGCGCCTGCATGTCAAGAAAGTATGTGTCTATTGCCTTTTCTTTCAAATATTCACGCAATACACAAACGGACGTGTCGGTAGCTTTAACAGTGTTTCTAGTATCCTTTTGCACCAAGATAGTTTTAAGTTGGTCATCGGAAACATTTCCAAATCTCGACACTGTAGTCTGCCATTTTCTCTCCAGTGAGGCATCGACAATCCGTGCTTCTAATTACTCACAAATAGCAGCACAGGTTACTGGATTGTAATATTCACCTGTGAGGCGCCCGACGGGTTTTTGGACGGTTATATTCACCTCGCGTGCACGGATTCTGTAGGTTTCGGGGTAACATCGCAATATATTTGGACCTATAAGAGGTGTTTTGACTAATCAGCGTGTGGGAAAAGTGAGTTATATAGTAAAATTTAATAGACACCATGTAGTTTGTGTAACCATGTAATAACCGATCTATGTTGAATAAATATTTATTCTCATGAAATAGTGTTGTCTGCGAAATGGCCAATTTACTCATTGACAATTCATGGATCATAATTGGAATTTTGACAGAATTGGTCAAGTCATGCAAGCCCTGCTAGACCTTAAAATTATATAAATATAAAATTAGAAATTGAAACAATTCCAGCTTTTCTGAACTTTTAACTTTAAAACATAACACAAAATAACTACGCTTACAGAAGAAGAACCTCTTCAATGCTTTTCTGTGATGCAGTTGGAACATCACTGCTAGCAAGCATCAAGCCAGCCTTTTTAAACGCAATACCTCACAACATCTATTGATGTGATTTGCATCATCTGAGATTTCATCATTTTCCTCACTTGCATTAGTTTGAGATTGTACAAAAATCTTGAGCACATCCAACATCTGCTGTGTAATATCTTCATGTTTAAGATTGCTTGTCTGGGAAGTGTGACTTTCTATGACAAATGCGTCTTTAATGCCACTTCCAATAGTTAAATCTGAATTCAGCCATTCAGAGAAAAGATGAAGAGTCAATCGTTTAGTGGCACGCTCATGGATCAGACCAAGATTCATTTTTCTCAGTCCTTCAGGTAGAACAGCTGTGTGTGTATCTGAAAGTTGACCTGCCAGAGTTTCCATTGCAGTGGCTGTAAATGGTGTATTAACTTTGTCACAATAACGGTAAAATGGTCTTTTGTTGCCATAATTCATCAACAGGGCAAATTACTTCTCGCTCCATAAGTTCTTTTGCATGTATAACCTTGGCCATATTTACTTTGGCTTCATTCACACTGCCATCCTCTTAGAAACCATGACAACGAACGGGCAGTTGTTGAAATGTGTTCCACGGCAGAGATCTTGCCTTCACAGGTTCTTTAATGAAATTAACCCATATCGTGAGAATGGAACAGTATTTGTCCTAGAGCGCAATATGACTATGACCGCATGTATTGGTGACAGAACAAGATGTTCAGCCCGAGACAAAGAATCCATGAAGAGTGCATATTTATGAGAGGCCTCATCTTCAAAGGTATCAAGTGCCATGAGATTATGTAAACATAATCTGTCCATGGATTCCTAAAATTGACAAATAGCCTATACAAACAGTTGATGGGTTTTGAGAAAATTGGCATTTTAGACTTTTAAATGAGATTCATAACATTTAACCTTCGCCCAGTAACCTTGAATTTGGCAAACATAAGCTTTCACTACTGGCCAAATTACCCATTAATCAACCATGAAAAACCCATGGAAAATACAGCCATTAATTATGGCCCCTTTTAATATCCATTAATTCAGCATGAAATCAAGTTAGTGGCCTATAATTTGAAGCTGAACAATTTAATGGGTTAGTAAAATAGCCATGAAAATTTGAAAAAGTAATGGCCATGAATTCACATGCCATTAATCGGTGGCCCAATTTAATGGCCATAACACATTTTGGAACCAGTAATGGCCATGAATCAAAATCATTTTAATGGTACTTACTTCTACAGCAGAAATCTACTCATGGCCATTAATTTGTTTAAAAACATCAACTTTCTAACATAACTATTAATTATGGCCATTACTATCAGGTGGTGATAGTGAAGTAATGGCCATTAAATACTCATAAGAAGGATTATTTGTAATATTGTATTCTGTAAATTAAAAGCAAGTATAGACAGGTATCTGATCCACAATTACCAAAAACATGTCATTGCAATTTTTTTCTTGCATAATTAAGGTTGATGTTTAACATGTTCTCCCGATCCCAAGATCCGTAGAAGACTATGCCCTGTAGTCAAAAATGTGACATAAAGATTATAATACAATATTTCATCTGTTGTTGATAAGATATGTACCTGAACATTTAGACCACTTCAATTTACAAGTCACAACAGCTAAACTTTGAACAAATGTATTTAAAACTCCCTGAACGTTAAATCATTACATATAATAAACTAACTGTAGTGTAATATACATTCATTAAGATTGTGCACCAATCAGGACAAGTATCTCATATTAATTATGTAAATTGCCGCATGTTTTTGTATAAATTAAACTTAATAACTTTTTTGTTAGCTCACCTGGCCCGAAGGGCCAAGTGAGCTTATGGTAGGGTGTGGCGTCCGTCCGTCGTCCGTCCGTTCGGCGTCAACTTTTTCTCAGTAACCAAAAGGCCGAGGGTGATGATATTTGGCCAGAAGCATACTTGGATGAAGGGCTACCAAGTTTGTTCAAATACATGACCGTGACCCACTCTCAAGGTCACAGGGGTCAAATATGCTAAAACCTTTAAACAACTTTTTCTGAATAACCTAGAGGCCTAGGGTGATGATATTTGGGCAGTAATATGCTGGGATGAAGGGCTACCAAGTTTGTTCAAATAAATGACCTTGACCCACTTTCAAGGTCACAGGGGTCAAATATGCTAAAACCTTTAAACAACTTTTTCTGAATAACCTAGAGGCCTAGGGCGATGATATTTGGGCAGTAATATGCTGGGATGAAGGGCTGCCAAGTTTGTTCAAATAAATGACCTTGACCCACTTTCAAGGTCACAGGGGTCAAATATGCTAAAATCTTTAAACAACTTCTTCTGAATAACCAAGAGGCCTAGGATGATGATATTTGACCAGTAACATGCTTGGATGAAGGGCTACCAAGTTTGTTCAAATACATGACCGTGACCCACTCTCAAGGTCACAGGGGTCAAATATGCTAAAATCTTTAAACAACTTCTTCTGAATAACCAAGAGGCCTAGGATGATGATATTTGACCAGTAACATGCTTGGATGAAGGGCTACCAAGTTTGTTCAAATAAATGACCTTGACCCACTTTCAAGGTCACAGGGGTCAAATATGCTAAAACCTTTAAACAACTTTTTCTGAATAACCTAGAGGCCTAGGGCGATGATATTTGGGCAGTAATATGCTGGGAT